CTTGCCACGCCACTCGATCCTAGCGACAATGCAAAGTTAGATCACTCGAGTGGCACTAGATGACCGATATGCAAACAAGTTTGCCCCTCTTGATAGTACGGCCATCTATCATAAACCCGGTCATCAACTTCTCTACACACCTATGACCGGTGAAATGAAATGCCCTAGGTTATACCTTTGCCTTGCGCATTCCATTCTATCTCCTTCAATGTCGATGCAACACATGCACCAACACGATCAACAATGATATGATCCACTTCATATCATCATATGATCATATTGGTTCATCGATCTTGACTCTACTTGCTCTCTTCACCGTTGCTATCGTCCATCGGCGCCAAGTCTTGCTCAAGCTTCACCGCCACGCGGTCCATCACTCCAAAGCCTTTGACTTGCCCTTCACGCTTGCAACCGGTCCATCAAGCCAAGTCTTGTCTTGATCTTCTCCACCTTGATCACATGACTCAATGTCATGTCTCATGTGCAATAAGCTCCTTCATCATTACATGTGTGAGCTTTGCAACATCTCCAAGCCATTTTCACCTCCATGGCATATGTTGCTCATACACATGTACCTGTGGACTAATCACCTGTGTATCTCACATAAACACAATTAGTCCACCTAGATTGTCACTCAATTACCAAAACCAACAAGGACCTTTCACCGTTGAGAAATGTCATCTTTACATCCATCCGATGTAATTCTAAATCGTAATGTGCCACTAATGCCATTATGATTCTGAAGAAATTCTTACATGAGACTGGAGAAAAGGTCTCATTATAATCAATGTCTTCTCTTTGCATAAAGCCTTTGCCACAAGTCGCTTTATATCTCTCTATATTCCTTGAGAGTCAAGTTTTATTTTGTAGACCTATTTACAAACTCATCGTTTTGGCTCCTTTAGGAATTATTTCTAAGTCCCAAACTTTATTGGCATTCATAGATTTCATTTCATCTTCCATGGCCTCAAGCCACTTTGATGAATGATCACTTCTCATGGCTTCTTCAAATAAGGTGGGATCATCCTCTATTTGAAATTCCTCGTTGTTGTATACTTCATAGTCAAGCAGAATAGCTGATTTTTTTAACTCTTTTAAACCTTCTAGGGGCCTCCACATTTGGCACATCTTTTGTTTGAGGCTGTTGTTGCTCCCCCTCATGTGTGGCAATAGGTTCTATAGGATCCTAAAAAATAGGTTCCTCGTCGTCATTCATTGTTGCCACAGTCGGAATAACAACAGTGTTTGGCACCATACTATCTTGCACTATCGGTGCAAATGACGGCAGGTAGTGAGAAAAATAGCTCATGAATCATCGTGAGTGGGCGCATACACCTGCTTCTCTTCAAGGTCAATTTCTCAAGCTACCGTGCTCACCCTCGTCATTTCATCCTCTAGGAAGATAGCGTGTCTCGTTTCCACAAACTTTGTATGTCTGTCTGGACAATAGAAATGAAAATCTTTTGACTTTTCTGGGTAGCCAATGAAATGGAACTTACTGTTTTGGGATCTAGCTTCCCAATGTTTGGGTTAAATACTTTAGCCTCAGCAGGACTCCCCCACACACGTAAGTGGTTTAGTGAGGGTACTCTTCCTGTCCACAACTCATATGGTGTTTTGGGCACCGACTTACTTGATACTCTATTGAGAATATGAATGGCGGTTTTTAACGCCTCCATCCACAGGCTCAACGGTAAGGTGGAGTAACTTATCATACTGTGCACCATATCCATCAGGGTACGATTGCGTCTTTCAGCTACTCCATTCTGCTTAGGTTCGCCCAGTGTAGAATACTGTGCTACTATGCCATTTTTCTGTAAGAACCTTTCAAAAGGTCCAGGAACTTGGCCATATAGGGTATGCCAATCGTAGTACTTCCCCCACGATCGGACCTGACTATCTTAATCTTTAAATTGTGTTGGTTTTTAACTTCTGCCTTAAATAAACTAAAGTTATCCAATGCTTCTGTTCTTTTTTTTATTGGATAAATGTAGCCATAATGGGAGTAATCATCTGTGAATGTTATGAACGAATCATAACCATCTACACTCTTTACAGGAAACGGACCACAGATGTCTGTGTGAATAATCTATAAAATTCATGCGCTTCGTTTGGCATCTTTCTTAATTTTCTTTACATACTTTCCTTTTATGCATTCTTTGCATTATTCTAAATCTGAGAACTCTAATGTTGGAAGAATATCATTCTTAACTAGTCTTTCTATTCTCCCCCTCGAAATATGGCCTAAACGACAGTGCCATAATTTCAATGACGCATCATGAGTTCTCTTTCGTTTTCTGTTTACATCCGCAGACGAGGATACATTCTCATTGTCGCACGCAACGTTTCCATCATTGCATACAACAAAAAACATCATCACGCAGTGATAACAAATAAAGCTTATTTTGTAATATACCAAGATCAACACATGTATTATTAAATGTTATCTTACATTTGTCATTTCTAGAGTACTCTCTCATCACCAAATGCTTTATCACCGGGTAGCATATATCTTTGAAGAGCCAAAGAACTGACTATTTATTCTATTGAGGTACTTTCGGTGACCGTGTCACACTGGGGATTGAGCCCACAATTGCGGGCTTAATTATTTTTTTATCACACCAAACATTTCTTGTTGGCGTTGACCCACTTCCTATGCTCAAGGTCATATGACATCTTTTAGGATTCAAAATCCTCTCTCTAGTTGCCCAAGCGGCATCAACCTCATTTGTCCCCCTCACCGTGCCCACAGCTCGGTGGGGACACGATGAGGTGACTACTCGACCCACCTCAAATAATATGAAGGCCAGCCTCAATCTTTTTCTTCCACTCCGTGTAGTTGTCACCTTTGAAAGTGGGGATCTCTTTGATACAACCCATCAAGTTGTATCCGTCTGGCAACACAATTCATATAGAGTGAGAACATAAATTATAACAACAATTGCATGCCTTCATTCTAATGTTGGTCAAAATTAAAACATACAACTGTTTATACATTAAATCTACATCACCGTTGGGCAGAAATAGAAATAATACATAAAATCATTAAAATTACAATATTGTTATTAACAACGTTGGTCAGAAAATAACAACATCATAATCATGTCAAAATCTCTTTTTCTCCGATTAAATATCACGTTGGTTTAAAATAACTGCAGAATAAACTATTTCTTTAGCAGTGGAAACATGAAAAAATTCATTATCTATTTTTCAGAAGCATTAAACTTTTCTCAACTATTCTCTGAAAAATTATCCCGTTGATTCAAATTTTAACAGATATTCAAAACTTGACAAAAATTCATCGAAATTTGCTTCTGAAAAATTAAATAAACTTGAAACTTTATTGATCGCTCATTCGGCCCTGCCTGCAAGAATAATAACCGAATGCCCAAAGATCGCTGCACTGCTGCAATGACAAATGACAAATAAGCAGCCTCAGTGCCCACCAGGTTCAAGGCGCTTGCGCGCCTCCCCGCGCCAGGTCAAGCAACCTAGGCCTAGGCTGAATTCAACTTCCCGCCTAGGCTCAATCTGTCCGAGGCGCCTCGCTTGTTCATCCAGATCCGACGGCCAAAGGCCGACTTCGGATATCAAAAACCCCACCCCGGCCATTGCTCCCAAACCCTAATTCATTCGACTCCTCTCTTTCTCTCTCTCTCTCTCTCTCTCTCTCTCTCTCTCTCTCTCTCTCAGCGCAGCAGCAGCGAGCGACCGAGCGAGAGCAAGTGGTGATGGCGCCGTCGCTGGTCTCCTCGCTGGCGTGCACGCTCCCCATCGGGTGAGCACGCTGCAGTGAAGAGCTTATGAAACCCTAGATCTGACCACCGCGTCTCCTCTCTCTCAACAACGAAAGAAAGAAAGTGGCGACCGAAATGCGAAGGAGATACTATGGCGCCACAGCCGGCCTCTCCAAGCCAAGCGTCGCTCCCCACGGGTGAGCGCGCCATTGCCGAGCGGACGAGGCGACAACCTTGCAGTGTAGCGCGCGGTAGGCCTCTTCCCTTCCCTTTTCTTCTCGATTTGATTTTCTTTTCTTTTCTTCTCGGATCAATCCGATTTGGGGATTAGGGTTTCGCTCACTGTTCTTTCATTCGCCCTGTTAGGGTTAGGATTCGGTGACCCTCTTTTACATCCGAAAACCGAATCTCTCACCTCGCCTCTGTTCTTTTCTTGCCGCGCGCCGGCGAAGACGGCGGTGCGGCACCTTTCCCCACGCGGTGGCGGTGGTGACCGGTAGTTGAGTTGAGTGACACCCGCCACCCCCCCCCCCGGTCTCTTTTTATTTTCTTTTACCCGGCTAAGGTTAGGGTTTCAATCCGAACCGAATCGAACCCTATGTTACTCTTCGATTTCTTTTCAATTCTCTATCCCATACTAGATCTACACACTGGCAACCCGACTCTGGTACCATTGTTATGAATACAGTACCTCTGAAACGTAGATCAGGGGATAAACATCTTACTTAGATGGAGAAACTGATTCCTCTAGTTCGCCCTGGCGCAGTTGCGCCGCAGCCGCATGGACGCCAGTGTCGTGGGAGCTCGAGGCGATGGAATCCAGCGTAGTGGTGGCGGTGCAGAGGCGACGGTGACGCGAGGTGCCATAGTCCGATGATGACGGCGAAGTCAGTGGGTCTTCCCATCGCTGGCAGCACCCTCTTTAGATCGGGTTAGGTTTAATTGTTGGTGGGTCACGACGGCTCAGGTCAAACTCGTAGTTAGAGCCCTGGTCCCCACCTCTCTTTATAGTGATGTGCGACGGAAACCCATAACTATAGAATGGTTGGACGCCTCCTGTCAGAGTGTTAATCCAAGAACCAATTAACCGTTGAACGAATTGACGGAGATCAAATTAACAATATCCAAACTAGAGGTTGTCGAACAGAACTTTTGGTGTGCTCCTTCCGAACCATGCGGATACGGTTCGCTGCAGCACTGGAGCTGCCCTATGCACACAGAATCAGTGAATCACGCAGAAAGCGACAGGAGTTACACATCACATCACAACTGGAACACGAGCACCAGACACGACACAAAAAGATGACACGCCGACCCGTCCAACAGGCCGACGGCCGCGTAACACCGTCGTCGCCCACCGCCGGCCGCCGCCGCAGCACCGGATCTCTCCGGCGAGCCGTCGCCGTTGCGCCTGTCCACGCACGGCGGAGCCCCCAGGTAGCCGCTCCCCTGCAGGCCCCTGCCGACGCACAGCTCGTCGTTGCCCCGCACATCGAGGCGCCTGCCGAGCTGCGCCACGAAGTGCCCCGGCAGCGCGATCTCCCCGGCCAGCCGGTTCTGGCTGAGGTTGAGCTGGCCCAGGTGCGGCAGCGCGGCCAGGCTCGCCGGGATCGGCCCGTCCAGGCGGTTCCGGTCCAGCGACAGCGCCGTGAGGCTGGCCAGCGCCGCGAACGCGCCCCGCGGGATGGGCCCCGTCAGGTCGCACCCGGACAGGCCCAGCACCTGCAGCCGGCGCAGCGACCCGACCACCGCCGGCACCGCCGTGCCGAGCGGGTTGTCCTGCAGCAGCAGGTACTGCAGCCTGGACAGTCCGGCCAGCGAGGTCGGCAGCGAGCCCGCGAGGCTGTTGTGGCTCAGGTCAAGGAACACGAGCTCCCGCAGCGACCCCACCTCCGGCGGCACGCGGCCGGCGAGGCGGTTGTAACTCAGGTCCACCTTCTGCAGCCTCTGGAGCTTGCCCAGCGGCGCCGGCACGCCGCCGTCGATGCTGTTCCAGCTCAGGTCAAGGATGGTCAGGCTCGACATGGCACCAATCTCATCGGGTATCTGCAATAATGCAAAAATGAAATGCATGTCCACGTGGCGCGTAGTTATAGGCCATAATGTACCGTACCTCGCCGGTGATGTTGTTGTAACTGAGATCGAGCTGCTGCAGCGCGGCGAGGCCGCCGAGCTCCCTGGGGATCCCGCCACGGAAGCCGTTCTGCGAGAGGCTGAGCACGCGCAGGCTCCGCAGTCCGCTCAACGTCGCCGGAATGGGGCCCCCGAGGCCGGGGTTGGACTTGAGCACGATCTGCTCGAGCGAGGACGACGCCGCGCCCGCGAACAGCGCGGGCGGCAGCTCGACGGCGGCGGCCTGGTCAGCGGCGCCGGAGAAGCAGCCGAAGATGGAGAGCGTCCGGAGGTGCGGCAGGCCGCGCAGCGAGGCGGCGTCGAGCCTGGCCCCGGGCCTGCAGGGCGGGGTGGCAACGTCGGGGCCGAAGTGGAGGCGCGTGGCGCGGAGCACGCGCGCGTCGTCGGGCGCCACCTCGCACTGCAGGCCCGGCCACGGCGTGTCCGTGCAGGGCCGCGGGTGGAGCCGCGGCCACGCCGGGTCGCCGAGGAGGTCCGCCATCACCCGGAAGATGGCCGCCAGCTCCGCCCTCGGCAGCTGCGGCGCCAGCGCGTCCCCTGCCACGGGAAGCGCGGTGGACACCGACACCGGCACCGATCCCGCGGGCCCGGCATGGAGGTGGAGCAAGAGGGCGAGGGAGAGCAAGAAGAGAGTGGAGGCGGCGGCCATTGGAGGAAGGCGCGGGCGTGGGCGTGGCTGTACTTGCTATTCTGAGTGGGGTATAGCGGAAGGCCTAGCTTTATGAGGTGATATGATATGACTAGAGAGGATTTATTATTAGAGTGAAAATCTCGTGTGACGGAACACTGATGCCTTATTTAGTTTGCGAAATTTTTTTTCAAAAAATGTTATAGTAGCTATCACATCGAATCTTACGATACGTGTATGAAATATTAAATGTAGACGAAAAAAAATAATTGCACAGTTTACTTGAAAATTACGAGACGAACGTTTTAAACCTAATTAGTCTATAATTAAACAATAATTATAAAATAAAAACGAAAGTGCTATAGTAGGTATATTTCCAACTTTCACCCACGGGCTGATTGATCAATGGACTGACACGGGATGCCATGAGCTCCATGAACAACAGGGAGTGAGTGTCAGCAGAGTCTACACATGCACAAGCGCTGGACACGATGCGATGCATGGACACTGGAGGCCTGGCTCCAGGGGGCCACGAGGCAGGAGCCCACGAATAGTAGGGGCCGATGCACAGACCACAGAAAAAGTGACGTTGCGTTGCAGGTTTGTGGTGGGACTCGGCGACCGGACGGTCGTGTTCAGTCGTTGGATTAAACGCGCCGGGGGAGCGGACACGGCGCAAACGCCAACGGCAGGGGCGGGCCGGGCGGCCCAGGCGACCAACGCACACTGTGGCACCTGTGTCTTGTTCGTACTTGGGCGCAGGAGGCCCGGCACAGACACAGTAATAGCAGTACGATCGAACTAGTACTATAGCACTAGCAGAGGGATACAACGAGGACGGAAACGCTCAGGCTGTGTTTAGTCGGGTGAAATTTGTAAATTTGGCTATGGCAGTACTTTCGTTTTTATTTGATAATTAGTGTTTAATTATGAACTAATTAGCCATAAAATGTTCGTCTCGTGATTTCAACCAAACTATGTAATTAGTTTTTTTTCGTCTACATTTAATGCTTCATGTACGTATCGTAAGATTTGATGTGATAGCTACTGTAGCACTTTTTATAAATTTGGTTTTGGAACTAAACGTGGGCTTGATTTTCTTTCAGCCTCGTTTAGGCATGCATTTTGTTCTTTGTACCTTCTGAACTTTTTCAGGAGCAATAGTCTGTTCATTTGGGCGTATTTGCTTATAAGCCATAGCTTATCAGTCAATAAATAGTATTTTTTTCTCACACCAAATCAGTCAGCAGTACTTTCAGTCATGGTTTATAAGTTAAACAAGTCCAAACAAATAGGGCGTAAGCCAGTACTCTCTCCATCCCACAGAGGAAGTCTGATACATACTGATCAAACTTTCTTAACTTTGATTAGATTTGTAGAAAATACATGTAACATTTAAAATAAATTTATGGATGGTCATTCACAAGATGTGTCATCTAGGTCCCTCTACTATTAAAGTGTCATTTTAGATGTGTTATCTAGGTCCCTCTACTATTAAAGTGTCATTTTATGGGTTCATGAACCTGACTTCGGGTGTCATCTACGTCAAAACGGTCTTAACCCACACTACATGCTGATGTGGCTGCTGACTCTGCATCTTACGTGTGGGGCCGTCCTCCACCTCATCTTCTCCTTCCCAGCACGCTCTCTCTCGGTCGATTCAAAGTCGGACGCTGGGCAGGAGCCCGACGCCAGCACGCCGCCGTCCCCTGCGCCATCCCCACCAGTCGAGCCCCCGCGCCCCCTGTCTCTCTCGGTCGCCACGCCCGCTGCCCGAGCCCCTGCACGGCCGCAGTGACGAGGCCGCCGCGGTTGAGGCCAGCTCCGCCAACCGCGGCGTCGTGGGCGACCCCGTCGCGGTGGGCACCCCGTGGCCATGGTGGGCGCCGCCGCCGGCGCGGCTGTCGTCGCCCAAGCGCTTGGCCCTAATGAGGATGAGCGTCTCCTGGAGGGTCCAGTTGCCCTTGCGGTAGTCCCTGGGCGAGGACGCCGGGGAAGGCGGCGGGGCCGCGAGCGCCGAAGCCTGGACGACGCCGCCGCCAGCTGAGCGCCGAAGCCTGGCCATCATCGCGCGCCTGGAGGGGTCCGCGCCGCCGCCAGCGCGTGCTGCCCCTAGCCTATTCGCGCCCTGCCCACGCTCATCGACCTGGAGGAGAGGCGCCTCCCGTCGGCGCTGCCCCTGGCCAAGCGCGGCACGGCCATGCAGGAAGTCCTGCATGGATCTGGTGGTTCTGCTCCTCGCCGTGCGTGCGGGTGTGGGTGGAGGTTCTGTACAGATCCGGCAGGGAGCGCGCTCGTGTGGGTGGTGGCGGTGGTTCTACTCCTCGCCGTGCTGGGCGGCGGCGGGTGCCTAGGGCTCTACGTCATGCTGCCGTCGTTCGAGGTGTCGCAGTGGCTGGCGGCCGTCGGGCTCGCGCTCGTCGCGCTTCCGTGGGAGTTCTGGATCTCCACGTGCGCGTACCGGTGCTGCTGCTCGGTGGACGGGGTAGCGGCGGCTCTAGTGATGGGCGAGGCCAGCTCGGCGGAGCAGGTGGGAGACGACGCTGCCCGCCGGAGCAGGCTTGCGCGGCGGTTCTAGCAGGTGTTCGTCGCGGAGCCTAGCGTGGTTGTAGGCGATGACAGAGAGGAGGAGAGAGAAAAGAGAGATAAGGACCTAACATGTGGGCCCCACATGTCGGGTTGACTTCAATGCACAGTCGGCGTGCCACGTAAGTGTACATAGCGGTTTAAGACCCGTTTGACCTGAATGACACCCGAAACCAACTTCATAGGCCTAGAAATAGCATTTTAGGAGTGAATGACACCCGAAACTAACTTCATAGACCCAGAAATAGCATTTTAGGAGTAGAGGAACCTAGATGACACATTGTGTCAAGTTGAAAGACCGGCCATGCATTTTGCTTCAACATTTATATGTCCAAATAAGTTTATTATGAAAGTATATACAACGATCTATCTAATGATACTAATTATGTATTATAAATATTAATATTTTTTATATATAATTGGTCAAATTTAAAAAAACCGACTTCTATTTTAGGACAGATGGAATATGTGTTGTGGCTCATGGATGGGACAAGTAGATGGCGGGGGCTTCGCCAACGGGAGGGAGGTACTCCGTACATAGCTGATGGTAGCATCATGGCATGAGTAACGGTAGACGTGTCTCTCCCTCTCATGGTTAACAGGGGCAGCAAAGAGGTTTTCACACGTGGGGACAGTGACGAAGGCGATGGGTTTTGGACAAAGAAAAAACAACTATGTGCCCGTTCACTTCAGACTTAGAATCAATTTGGTAGAGCTCTCAACCAAACTCCTGGCATCTTCCGCTCCCTAGTCAGAATCTGAGGTGTTTGGTGGGGCTTCTCCCTTCGATCCACAATGGTGGATGGATTTAGGACGAAGAAGGACGTTTGGAGGCGAGGACGGGTGCGGCGAAGGCAACGAGGCACGGTGTGGTGAGGAGGAGAGGCCCGACGACGGCGGAAGGCTTGATGGAGGCGAGGAGGGCCATGACAAAGGTGGCGGAGAGGAGCATACCGGTGGAGAAGACTGCATCGTCGACTCAGGAGGACATGGCAAGGCGCGTGAGGAAGTAGAGAGGATCACGGAGGAGGCAGGGGAGACGGGACAAAATTTTATGCGACGACGCCGCACAACGTCGGACGTGCAACACCGTCCGTGTGCATGACGCGTGTCCTCTGACCCCACCGGATGTTGATTATCTAGCCGGCTCCTTGGCTTTCCCTCCGAAGCTGGATGCGCGCGAGTCGCTGTTTCTGTCGGCTGGTGGAGCTATGCATCGAGATTAGCGATGAAGGATACGTAGACGGCTTGTAGGCGGTGTTGTACGGGAGTCGGTTTATGACACGAGCGCATAGACTCTTGTTTTCCTGGGAAAACCGAGAGGGGCACAAGAAACAGCCAACCATAGAGTAGCACTTATTAGGAGTTTATTAAGAGGCGCCAATGCAACTTTTACACAACGTACTAGTAGTCTTCCTTCTGGGACACTTGCGAATGTACTTGCCCCCGTACCAAAGCGTGCGGGTGGGTGGTGTGGATCGCGTCCTGTGGTACCGAGGATGCTGTCCCGTGCGATACGGGCTCACCAGGCCTGGCTTCAGACTGTGTCGTAGCCGGTAGCCGTGCGACGCACATGCGCTGATGTTCGTCCTGACGGAGGCAGTGAGTGACCCGTGCATGCTGATGGCTGTTGCCGCCAGCCTGCCAAGTGCAGCATAACCTGGGGCCCCGCCCTGGCAACGCGTCGAGTGCAGGGAGTGGGAGAGAGACGAGAGATCCGACCAAGCCGACTGTGGCGCTCCAGTACCGCATGGAGAGCCATGGACGGACGGACGGACGCTGGGCACTGTGCGCGCTTACTCCCTGCTCCAGTGCAGTGCTCCTCCTACCCACACTCCGCTCGCTGCATGTGTGCGTGAAAAGGGGTGGGAAGCGGAGGGGCGGGCCGGGGCGAGGGGAGCAGGCGACAGGGTCAGGTTCAGCCAGGGCGCAGGCGGAACAGTGGTTGGCCATTGCGTTTGCGTCCCCGTCGCTGCAGCGCGGTGCGGTGCTAGTGGAGCTGCCTGGGCGGCATGCTATTACGGGCAGACACCAGGCAGGCCGATGGCCGAGCAGTGCAGGGCAGGAAGGCAACCAGGGTTTCGAAAGGCCCGCCCGCGCGCACGCCCAGGCCTACCACTACCAGCGAGCGGCCGAGCGGCCGCGCCACACCGCCTCCGGCTCCTCCGCTCGGCGCGCTGCGCTGGCGACCGAGCGGCCGTGCCTGTACATTTGTGCACTTGCCGCTCTCCCGAGGCTCCGATGGCAGGCAAGGCGCGACGCACCGCGAAACGCCCGGTGATGCCGCGGCGCCCCGCTAGCTCAAAGGCAAAAGAGGGACAGACCCCCGCTCCGCACCGGGTGCTCCACGTCTGACGACGAGATAAGGAGTAGGAGTACGCCATCTCTGCGTGCGCAGGATGCCATCTCTGCGTGCGCTATGGCCATATGGGGAC